TGATGGGTGTCTATGCTATGACATGATTGACTGATTTAACATTATGTCTGTCTTACAGCCAGCCTTACACATCATGAACAAACCATGCATTCTTCATCTGAGGCACCCAAACAGAGAAGTTACCCAGCGTACTGTGATGTAACTGCAACAGGTCCTGGTTCCAACAAGATAACCCCATATGCCCAGCACTCGGTTACATCATATAACAATGGTCAAGCAGACCACAARCACCAGCCCAATTATGGTGTACCACAACCAAAGACCAAGACATTTCTTTTGCCAAAGAATTCCCCGCAAAAGATCACCACTATGGTTAATAATAAAACATTGGTCAAAGGTCAACCAACTGGAAATAGACGCAGTCTCTCTCAGGGGAATGGTGCCTACTCCAGGGATAAGATGAATGCTCAATATATTGACCCACCTGAGGAGTTCCAATTCACAGCCAATCATAAAATAAGGTAAGGGAAAACCATGTTTTTTATATTCTATATTTTTACTGAAGTGTTTGTACTATAGATGTGTATTTAATATTTTGTTTTTAAGTGTTTAACTATAAAGCTGACAACTGTTGTTGTTTGCATTTTTACAGAAAAGCCCGTAAAACAATGCATGTAGAATCACAGCGTAAGGTGGCTCGATGCCCATGGAAAGAGGCCAAATGTAATGCTAAGCTACGTGAGCTCATGATGCAACCATTTGTAACCAAAGAAAAACTTGCAAAGTTACAAGAAACAAACAAGCAAATTGTTAAAGATTTGTCAACAAAGCCAGAGCTACCAGCTCTTATCAAACAAGGAGACCAAGTCAAAGAACCTGGATATGAAGCCATTGTGATTGATGATGATTAAACACCAGGGATACGGACTGTACTTTGGACTGTACTTTACACTCAAATCAATTATTTTGTACAGTGGTGACCTGTGGCAGCCATAGGCAGTAACCACCACAGGGAGCCCATGCAGAATTCATTGGGTTCTTGTTATTTCTGATATTGGTCAATATTATTCCTAGTTGTAGTATGTATTATGTAAGTCATTATTTTTATTTGCTAATTTATTGTAAATGTCAAAATAGAGTTTGTGAAATACAAATGATTTACCCAACTCGATCTTCAACTAACACACTGGCTACATGAGACCCATTCAAAAGATGGCAGATAATTTATATGACAGTTGCTCCATACTGACTAGCCTYGTCACTCATGGAGCAATTTGTACATGGATGACTAGCTATTCAGCTTGGAACAATTGTWATTCAAATTAATATGCATTATTTCATATCACCCTTTAGGGTTAACATAGGGTTGTACAAAGGATGAACTATCTACCTGATGATAAGAGCCCTTGTTCAGTGGATAAAATCCAATCTCTAAGGAATAGATAACTATATCCACACTTTGTGCACCCAACCCAAGTTGTCAAAATGGGCATAGTTTCCCAATGTAGGTCTCATAATTGGCTGGGATTCCTGTCCCTCCAAAATATACAAAATAAGGAATTTTAATGACTAGCCCGTGCTAAGTGATACAAAACCCTCCAAAATTATGATTTTAAATGAACTATAGCCCGTGCAAGATGCTAAAAAACACGTCAAAATAAGGATTTTCAATGGACTATAGCCCATGCAATTTGATCAAAAATCGAACATTTTGGTGGGCTATAGCCCATGCATTTTCATCAAAAATCGACCATTTTGGGCCATTTTGGTGGGCTATAGCCCATGCATTTTCATCAAAAATCGACCATTTTGGGCCATTTTGGTGGGCTATAGTCCATGCATTTTGATCAAAAATCGACCATTTTGGGCTATTTTGGTGGGCTATAGCACATGCATTTTGATCAAAAATCGACCATTTTGGGCCATTTTTGTGAGCTATAGCCCATGCATTTTCATCAAAAATCGACCATTTTGGACCATTTTGGTGGGCTATAGCCCATGCATTTT